TCATTGCCCATAGAGCAAAAGTAATCCCCTTATTGTTTCTTTTTTTTTTATGTCGGCTACCCCCCAATTGGGGAAGACAGCCAAGGTATATATATATATATATATATATATATATATATATATATATATATATATATATATATATATATATATATATATATATATATATATATATATATATATGAATCATTTTTACCCCAACCAGGACTTAAGCCTGGGACTTATAATTACTAAGCCAAGGTGCTACAAACTACACCACTTAAGGTTACGGGGAAACAAACCTTACAGCTTATATCTGCTATACTAGGAAAATATATATATATATATATATATATATATATATATATATATATATATATATATATATATATATGTAGTCTCCGTGGCAAAACGGTAGCGTCCGCGACTCTGAGGTGGCAGGTCGAGGGTTCGCACCCCGTCACGGACTGAGGTTAGTAAGGGCATACACTCAGGGTAACGATTACATCTGCCAAAACAAGTCCTTCGCAAGAAGGCAACTGTCCTAGCCCTTAGTTGAAAAGGGAGTTCGTGACGTAATACCGAAACATATATATATATATATATATATATATATATATATATATATATATATATATATATATATATATATATACATAATTTTTTTTTTTAATAAGTGTGGCACCGGGACAGGCCCCCCCCAAAAAAAAAATGCCCTAATCAATAAAGGCCCGGGCACGAGAACATTAAGATGAAGGAAAAGAAAAAGGTTATGGACAAAGCAGAGATGAGGTAATGATACACAAAGAGGACGAAATGAAAAAAATAGTCAAAGTACTGAGGATCTAGAGATATGGAGGATTAGGCCCTGAGATGACGTTTGATCCGCTTTTTGAAGGATGAAAGGTCACAATAATTAGGAATGACAGAAGGAGGAAGAGAGCTCCAAAGTCTAGAGGTAGATGGGAAGAAGCAGTCGCTCCACCGACCAATCCTCGAGCTACAAATCTCCGCACAGTGCCTGTGAGGTGAGGTCACGTTGGTCATTATGCAAGAATAAAATAAAATAATCAGCGGTTGGGAGGGTCATACAAATTACATAGCTGGTATAAATGAGAAAAAAAATTATTAATCATTTTTGCAGTTCATTACATAGTATCCCATCTATTCAGTTATGCACCATTATTCTTATGAATCCTATTAATCTGCAAAATATCAATCTTTAATGAAAATACCACACACACACGCACACACACACACACACACACACACCACGCAGATCAACAGTTATATTATGAAGTTTATGATGAGGTAAGCTGGATCTTACATGAAAGTAGAGGGATAGGCAGATTGCATATTCTTAGATATTCAGAAGGCATTTCATGCAGTCCCTCGTAGGAGACTTATTAAGATGCTGCAAGTAATAGAAAGAATAGGTGGGAATGTCTTACAATGGATAAAACCTTACTTAGAAGGAAAGGAACAGAGGGTTACAGCAAGACACTCAGTGTCTGAATGGAAAAAGGTTAGTATTGGAGTTCCACAAGGTTCAGTTTTTGGGCCACTTTTGTTCCCTGTATACGTAAACAGCCTAACATAATCTGTAAATTCATTTTGGAATATGATTACAGATGATGCAAAGATTGTGAACAAAGATACGAAAACAATGGTAGAGAAGTTCAAGAAGACCTAAATAGTCTGCATGACTGGTCAAAACTTCAAAATGAAAGGTAATGAGAATGGGTACAAGTGCAAGAAGGCCCAATTTTGGATACTCAAACACAAGTGCAGAACTACAAGAGATGGAGAATGAGAGAGATATATGAGTAATAAATGACACAGTACAGACTGCATATGCTTTCTTAGCAAATGTAAGGATAGCCTACAGACACACGGACAAGGAACTGTTCCGAAATAATTATGTAACTTATGTAAGGCCAAAGCTTAAATATGCAGCCCCTTTGGAAGACACACTTGAAAAAGCATTAAAATAAGCTGGAAAAAGTTCAAAGACATGCTACAAAACTGGTGCCAGAAATACGCAATCTTAGTTATGAGGAGAGGCTGAAGGAATTAGACTTACCAGCATTTGCAGCTAGAGGAATGACAAGGGATATGGTGATGGCTTTGAAATTCCTTCAATGGTTATGACAGAGTGGATATTGATCGATATTTTGATATGGCTGGGACTAGAACTAGGTGTCATACTTTGAAGCTTCGTATGGAAACTTCTTTGCAGGATGAAAGGAAGTGCTTTTTTTAGTGTAAGAATAGTTAGTGATTGGATTTTGATAAGCGAGGAGGTAGTTAATGCTAACTCAATTAACGTTTTAAGGACAAATATGATAAGAATCAGTGAGTACAAAAATGGAACAGACCATGAAACGAGGAGTTAAGAGCACTGGGCTCTCTCCTGTAAGCTCACTGAGGTAATTACAATAAGGCAATTACACACACAGACAATATATATATATATATATATATATATATATATATATATATATATATATATATATATATATATATATATATATATATATATATATATATATATATATATATATATATATATGTTTGTTTGTGTGTTCTGGCTTTATGTAATGGACTCCCTTTTCTACCTTCTTACAAAGGACTTGTTTTGGCAGATGTAATCGTTACCCTGAGTGCATGCCCTTGCTAACCTCAGACCGTGACGGGGCACAAACAGTTGACCTGACGCCTCAGAGTCGTGGACGCAACCGCTTGAGCCAGGGTGACATATTTATATATATATATATATATATATATATATATATATATATATATATATATATATATATATATATATATATATATATATATTGTGTGTTTGTTTGTTCCGGTTTTACGTCATGGACTCCCTTTTCTACCAAGGGCTAGGACGGCTGCCTTCTTACGAAGGACTTGATTTGGCAGATGTAATCATTACCCTGAGTGCATGCCCTTGCTAACCTCAGACCGTGACGGGCACAGACAGTCGACCTGACGCCTCAGAGTTGTGTATGCTACCGCTTGAGCCACGGTGACTACATATTTATATGTATAAGCAAATAAGCACATTACATATGTGAAAACATGAATCACCTTTTACCCCTGCCAGGATTTGAAACTAGGACTTATAAGTACTAAGTCAAGGCGCTACCAGTTACACCACAGAAGGTTAAAAGGAATCAGACCTTACAGCTTATATCTGCTATACTTAGAAATAAACGCATTTTATCTGAATGCCGCAATATTCATATTACAGATTCCCCAACCTCACTTGTGACTTCATTTTCGCATTTAATTCAACTCCCAATCTCATTCGGGCCCAACAATAACCAAATAAGCACATTACATATGTGAAAACATGAATAATTTTTTACATCAACCGGGACTTGAACCTAAGACTTAAAAATACTAAGTCAAGGCGCTACCACCTACACCACAGAAGGTTAAAAGGAATCAGAGCTTATAGCTTATATCTGCTATACTTAGGAATGAACACATTCTATCTGAATGCCACTATGTTCATATTATAGATTCCCCAACCTCACTCGTGGCTTCATTTTCGCATTTAATTCAACTCCCAATCTCATTCGGGCTCAACAATAACCAAATAAGCACATTACATAATTGAAAACATGAATCATTTTTTACCCCGACCGGGACTTGAACCTAGGACTTAAAATTACTAAGTCAAAGCGCTACCAACCACACCACAGAAGATTAAAAGGACTCAGACCTTATAGCTTATATCTGCTATACTTAGAAAAGAACGCATTTTATCTGAATGCCGCTATATTCATATTACAGATTTCCCAACCTCACTCATGACTTAATTTTCGCATTTAATTCAACTCCCAATCTCATGCGGGCCCAACAATAACCAAATAAGCACATAACATAGGTGAAAACATGAATAATTTTTACGTCAACCGGGACTTGAACCTAGGACCTAAAAATACTAAGTCAAGGCGCTACCACTTACACCACAGAAGGTTAAAAGGAATCAGACCTTATAGCTTATATCTGCTATACTTAGGAATGAACACATTCTATCTGAATGCCTCTATGTTCATATTATAGATTCCCCAACCTCACTTGTGGCTTCATTTTCGCATTTAATTCAACTCCCAATCTCATTCGGGCTCAACAATAACCAAATAAGCACATTATAAATGTGAAAACATGAATCATTTTTTACCCCGACTGGGACTTGAACCTAGGACTTAAATTACTAAGTCAAGGCACTACCAACTATACCACAGAAAGTTAAAAGGAATCAGACCATATAGCTTATATCTGCTATACTAAGGAATGAATGCATTCTATATGAATGCTACTAAGTTCATATTACAGATTTCCCAACATTTCTCGTGGCTTCATATTCGCATTTAATTCAACTTCCAATCTCAGTCGGGCCCAACAATAACCCAATAAACACATTACATATGTGAAAACATGAATCATTTTTTACCCTGGCCAGGATTTGAACCTAGGACTTATAATTACTAAGTCAAGGCGCTACCAACTACACCACAGAAGCTTAAAAGGAATCAGACCTTATAGCTCATATCTGCTATACTTAGGAATGAACACATTTTCTCTGAATGCCACTATGTTCATATTACAGATTTCCCAACCTCACTCGTGGCTTCATTTTCGCATTTAATTCAACTCCCAATCTCATTCAGGCCCAACAATAACCAAATAAGCACATTACATATGTGAATATATGCATCATTTTTTACCCCAACCAGGACTTGAACCTAGGATTTATAAATCCTAAGTCAAAACGCTACCAACTACACCACAGAAGGTTAAAAGGAATCAGACCTTATAGCTCATATCTGCTATACTTAGGAAAGAACGCATTTTATTGAATGCCACTACGTTCATATTACAGATTCCGCAGCTTCACTCGCTGCTTCATTTTCGCATTTAATTCAACTCCCAATCTCATGCGGGCCAAACAATAAACAAATAAGCACATTACATATGTGAAAACATGAATAATTTTTTACCCCGACCGGGACTTAAACCCAGGACATTATCATTATTAAGTCAAGGTGCTACCAACTACACCACAGAAGGTTAAAAGGAATCAGACCTTACAGCTTAAATCTGCTATACTTAGGAATGAACACATTCTATCTGAATGCCACTATGTTCATATTACAGAGTCCCCAACCTCACACGTTGCTTCATAATCACATTAAATTCAACTCCCAATCTCATGCGGGCCCAACAATAACTGAATATGCACATTACATATGTGAAAACATATATCATTTTTTACCCCGACCGGGACTTGAACCTAGGACTTATAATTACTAAGTCAAGGCGCTACCAATACACCACAAAAGGTTAAAAGGAATCAGACCTTATAGCTTATATCTGCTATACTTAGGAATGAACGCATTCAATCTGAATGCCACTATGTTCATATTACAGATTCCCCAACCATACTTTTTCTTAAAACTTTGAATTGAATTAGCATTAACTACCTCCTCACTTAGCAAATTCTAATTATCAACTACTCTTACACTAAAAATGTACTTCCTTACATCCTGCAAAGAAGTTTTCTTCCGAAGCTCCAAACTATGACCTCTAGTTCTAGAGCCAGCCATATCGAAAATATCGATCCCTACCCACACGGTTAAAACCATGAAGGAATTCAAAAACCGTAACCATATCCCCCCTCATTAGTTTAGCTTCGTGTGATGGCAAATCTAAATTCACTCAGCCTCTCCTCATAACTGAGATTTCGTATTTTTAGCACCAGTTTTGTGGCATGCCTCTGAACTTTTTCCAACTTATTTATGTGCTTTCTCAAGTGTGGATTCGAAAAGGGGGCTGTGTGTGTGTGTGTGTGTGTGATTACCTAATTGTGATTACCTAATTGTGTTTACGGGAAAGAGCCCAAAGCTCGTATCTTCCCGTCTCCTGATCGGTTCCATTTTTAGACTTAGTGATACTTATCATACCTGTCCTTAAAACTATGGATTGAGGTAGCATTAACTACCTCCTCGCTTAGCGAATTCCAATTATCAACTACTCTTACACTGAAAAAGTATTTCCTTACATCCTGCAAACAAGTTTTCTTCCGAAGCTTCAAACTATGACCTCTAGTTCTAGAGCCACCCATATCGAAATATCGATCCCTATCCACTCTATCATAACCATGAAGGAATTTAAAGACTGTCACCATATCCCCCCTTACTCTTCTAGCTTCGAGTGATGGCAAGTCTAATTCCCTCAGCCTCTCATCATAACCGAGATTGCGTATTTCTGGCACCAGTTTCGTGGCATGTCTTTGAACTTTTTCAAGCTTAGCTATGTGCTTTTTCAAGTGCGGATTCCAAAAGGGGGCTGCATATTCGAGTTTTGGCCTCACATAGGTTACATAAATATTTCTGAACATTTCCTTGTCCATGTGCCTGAAGGCTACCCTTACATTTGATAAGAATGCATATGCTGCCCTTACTACGCCATTTATATGTATTTCTGGAGACAAATCTGCCAATATGTTTACTCCTAGATCTCTCTCATTTTCTGTCTCCTGAAGTTGTACTCCAGCCACCGAGTAGTCAAGCTTGGGCCTTCTTGCACTTGTACCCATTCTCATTACCTTACATTTTGAGGTATTGAATTTCATTAGCCACTTTTCTGACCACTCATGCAGATTATTTAGATCCTCCTGAAGTTCTCTACCATTGTTCTCGTTTTTTACTTTCTTCACAATCTTTGCATCATCTGCAAACATATTCATGAATGAATTTACAGACTCTGGTAGGTCATTTACATATACAAGGAACAAAAGTGGCCCTAAAACTGAACCCTGTGGAACTCCACTACTAACTCTTCTCCATTCAGACACTGAGTGTCTTACTCTAACCCTCTGTTCCCTTCCTTCTAAGTAAGTTTTTATCCATTCCAAGACATTTCCACCTATTCTAGCCATTGATTGCAGCTTCCTAATAAGTCTCCCATGTGGAACAGTGTCAAACGCTTTCTGGAAGTCTAGGAATATGCAATCTGCCCAGCCCTCTCTTTCCTGTAAGATTTGGCTTACCTCATCATAAAATTCTAATAAGTTTGTTACTGTTGATCTTCCTTCTCTGAAGCCATGTTGCCTCACTGACAAAAAGTTGAAGGATTCCAAGTGAAGAGAGATATGTTTCCTTAGTAGTTTCTCCATAACTTTGCAAACTATGCTGGTCAAGGAAACTGGTCTATAGTTCAGAGCCGTATCCCTCCTTCCCTTTTTGAAGATAGGTATCACATTTGCTTGTTTCCAGCATCTTGGAATCTCCCCCGACTCCAATGACTCCTTAAATATGATACTTAGTGCCACTGATATTGTGTTTGCGCATTTTTTAAGCACATGAGGGGATATGTCATCAGGACCTGTAGCTTTATGAACATCTAAATCCATCAGCGCTTTGCATACCTCTGTGGCTGTAAGGTTGATGTTCTCTAATACCGGCCCTTGAGCTTCTATCACTGCAATCTGAGGGGGTGGGGTATTTTCTACTGTAAATACTGACTGAAACTCCTTGTTCAATTCTTTGCAGATCTCTTCGTCCGTCTCAGTGATGCTTCCATCCGCTCTCTTTAGCCTTAAAACCTGTTCTTTTACCTTCAGTTTTCCTCTGATAAAGCTGTGGAAAAGCTTGGGATTTTCTTTCGCCTTCCTGGTGATGTCCCTCTCATAATCTTTCTCTGCCTCTCTCCTTTTACTTAGGTAGTCATTTCTTGCTCTTTTGTAGGTTTGCCAGGCATTTATGTTTTTTCTCCTCCTATACCTTTTCCAGCATTTGTCTCTCCACTCCTTAGCTCTTTTACACCCATTATCGAACCATTTCTCTCTGGCATGAATTACACCTACTTTGGTGACAGGTATGCAGCAATCTACAATCTTCCCATATTTCTCACAAAAGATGTCATACATTTCTTGTACAGATTTGTTGTAAAATAAGGTTCTCCAGTCAATAACTGCAAAAAGCTCATTCATTTTGATGTAATCTCCTTTCTGATAGTTCCTCCTCATGTCCTCAGTGCCTCTACTCTCAGGAAGAATGTCTTCAATGATATACTCCATCAACAACACACAGTGGTCACTCTTTCCAATTGGTGGTTCATACTCAATATTTTCAATATCCAACACATTATCTGTGAACACCAGATCAAGTAGTGATGGCTCATCCCCACCCCTGGCTCTTGTTGGTTCCATTACATGTTGGTGTAGGAAATTCCCTTGTACGCAATCTAGGAATCTTGCCCCAAAGGAGTCCTCACCACTGTGTGGGTCAAGATTTATCCAATCTATCTCTTTATGATTAAAGTCTCCCATAATCAAAATCCTACATTTTTTCTCCCGCGCCATGTTAACAACTGAGTTTATGACTTCAATCGTACCTATATGACTTTCCTCATAAATTTCAAGCCTATTTTGGTTCCTTGGTGGGTTGTATACAACAGTTATTATAATGCTCTCTGACCCAGTATTTATGCGAGCAACAAGAAATTCCCTGAACTCACTTTCTATAGCCAAGTTTATCTCTTCAACTTGAATCCTCTCACTTATGAGCAGTGCTATCCCTCCACCAGTCCTCTCAGATCTTTCGACCCTTAGTATTCTGAAGCCCTTAGGAAAAACTGTGACACTGTTTATGTCCTCACTCAACTTAGTCTCTGTAATTGCTACTATATCTGCCTTACTGTTGTGAATCCTATCTTTTAATTCTACTGCCTTACCAGCTAATCCATCAGCATTTGTGTATAACAATCTTAATGAGGCCCCATCCCCTGATCTTCTGTCATTATCTTCTTTATCTCCCCTTTGTCTGGAAGTATTCCGTAACGAAAATTTTTCTTCTCTTCTTCATTTCTTTCATCATTTAACCTTCTTGCCTCTTGCAACAAGTTTTTGATCTTTCCCATCTCTTCCTGTGTTCTGTATCGTCTAATGAACACTTCTTTGCATTCTTGAAGGTCTTTTAGACTTTTTTTTCTCAACAATATTTCCCTACATGTCTCCCCTCTCTCAAAGGTTACTTTTGTTGGTCTCGGCTTTCCTTCCCTCGAATATTTACCTAGTTGGTGTATGTTTACAATATCCTCAGGACCACATACTACTCCAAGCTTTCTTATCAGGTCTACAACCCTAGCTTTATTTTCTTCAAGTCTCCCCTGCCATGTTGGCTCCTGGGATTCACTTATGCCTGAGATTACCACTGTCTTCTCCTTATCAAGTGCCTGTCTGATGAGTGGGTTTGCCCTTTCCATCACAACGTCTTTCATTTTTTCGATTACTGTCTCTTTATAGTCAACTGTTTGTATGTTTTCCAGTGCCACCACCTTTACAGCCTCTTTTACTGCCACATTCCCCTTTAGTGCATCAGCAAAGGACGTTTTCATGGCATCATTTTCCATATTCAGCTCCTGGAACTCTTTTCTGAACTGTTCAATGTTTTCTTTAATCTGAACATTCCAAGCAGCAATCTCGTCTCTCTCAGAAGATAGCAGTGAACTAACATCTAATTCCTTTAGGTTGTCATTTAGCTGTTTGTTTTTATCTTCTTGATTAGAAATTCTAGATTCTAGTTGACTCTTTTCCCCTTCCAGCTTCTTTATTCTTTTTTCTAGTTCCTTTCTCTCCTGCCCTTGTGCTTTATTTGCTTCCTCCAAAGATCTTATTTGTTCTCTGAGTGTTTCATTCTCTTTCATTTCTCCATCCATATTCCGAATTTTATCATCAAGGCTTGTAACCATTTCCTCTAACTTCTTGATTCTCTGTTTAAGTCCTCTGATGACTACCCCTTCTCCCGACCCATGGGTGGGAGAGGTTTGGGACAGAGATGGCTTCATTTTTATGTTCTCCCTCTCACAGAATATAGAAAGAAGACGAGAAAGAGGAAAAAAAAAAGAAAAGAAAAGAGAAAAACTTCTAATTTACCTTCACACAGAATTTTTATATCTCCATATAAGTGCTATTTAGTGACTCAGTTTGTCTCCTTTCTGGTAACACACATCTTAACTTAAAAACTTGACCATGGTAATTTACGTATAAAAAGAAAAAGAAAAACAAAA